ACGCTCACCCTCACTCCCTCCCACCCTCACTCCCTCCCACCCTTACTCGCTCACACCCTCACCCTCACTTCCTCACCTTCACACCCCCTCACCCTCACCCTCACCCTGACCCTCCTCACCCTCAATGACCTATCGACGCTCACCCTCACTCCCTCACACCCTCACCCTCACTTCTTCACCCTCACTTCTTCTCACCCTCACCCTCACCCTCACCCTCAATGACCTACCGACGCTCACCATCACTCCCTCATACCCTCACTCCCTCACTCCCTCACCCTCACTCTCACTCCCTCACACTCTCACTCTCGTTCTCACTCTCACTGACCCTCACCCTCGCGCCATCACTCCCTCACCCGTCATCCCCTCCCCCTCACCAACCCTCACCCCTCCCTCACCGACCCTCAACCCTCACTGACCCCTCACCCCCCCACCACCCTCCCTGTCCCTCACCAACCCTCCCCCCCTTCAATGACCCTGACATCTTCTCCTCCTCCTCCCTCTCAGTCTCCTCCCTCTCCTCACCCTCCCCCCACCCTTCCCCGCTACCATCCCTGTCTTCTACCCCCCCATCCTTCTGTCCCAACTTTCACCTTCCCCATACCTTCTCCCCTCCCCATCCTCCTCCCCTCCCCTCCCTTCCTCTCACTCACTGTGTAGATTCAGTAGGCAGTGAGTGAGGAAAACAGAGGGAGATGGACAGGGATAGGGTAATGGTTGGAGGCAGGGAGCAAGGGAGCCGAGGAGGGAGTGAGCGGAATGGGGAGGAGAGAGGGGAATGGGGAGGGAGAGGGGGCGACTGAGATGGAGCGCGGTGGGACGGAGATGGAGCAAGGGTGATGAGGATGGAAAGCGGGGGACGGGGTGGGAGAGAGGGATGGGGGAGGGAGTGGGGGGACGGAGAGCGATGGGGGAGGCAGCGAGGGGGATGAGGAGGGAGTGGGGGGACGGAGAGGGAGAGAGGGATAGGGTGAGATAGAGAGAGGGATGGGGGAGGGTGAGAGAGGGACAGACAGGGAGAGAGGAGTCAGGGAGGGAGGGAAGGAAAGGGGGAGGGAGGGAGGGGGACAGGGTGGGAGAGAGGGGACGGGGGGGGGGAAGAGGGGGAGGGAGAGGGAGAGGGAGGGGGCGAGGGATAGGGGAAGCCGTTTGCAGCCTCCAGCTAACTACATTCAGATTTCTTAATGGGATCTTTCTGTGCACAGGTATCATCCACGCCCGGGCCCTGGTGCGGGAATGTCTGGCAGAGACAGAGAGGAACGCTCGGTCATAGCTCAGACAGAGACCCCACAGACTGACAGACTGACCAACCACCCTTCCACAGCCGAATAGCCTGACAAATTCCCGTGGCCACGCCAACAGAGAGGACAACCAAACAATTCGATTTTCTTTCCATCGAAGCAAAATTCTTAGTTTGACAGAAAGCTGCCTTGGGAAAGCAGTGAGGGAGGGTGGATGTAGTTCCGGGACTGAATCCCGAATTCCAGACAAAAGACTTTCTTTCCGGATTTCCCAA